GAAGTACCATCCTGAAGTCTCTGTCATTTACGTTGCATATTTCTATGTCCGTAAGCTTATTTTCCGGAGATTTTTCTCTTTCTTTCTGAGATGCCTTGTCACCTTGGTTGTTCATGGTGTTTAATGGACTATTTCTCCACCTGGGCATTAATGGAAGTGTATTCTGCTGTTTTTCCAGAAAGAAGGTGCTTTTCTTTTGGTGTAAGCCTCTTGGATCCATGCTTTATGTAAAGCCTTAAAAATGCCTTTAAAAAAATTTTTTTTATAGATATTTAATCACCCTCGCTACCCTCAGTTTCATTCCTAGTCAGTGTAAACAACAGTCTCAGCAGCGTTTGCTCAGATTCCCCTGGGGCTCATCGTGATCATTCTTGGAGAGTATGTGGGGAGGGGCCCTCTGGGTTGGGAGTTGCGGACTGCAACTCAGCCTCAGTTTTGCAACTGGGGCTGGTAAAAATCAACTGTTGTTCCTTTGCAGTCCCATCCTGCTTCTCTGCTTTCTGCCCTTTTGATTGGACCCTGCCGCCCACCATGGGGAGCTCACCGCACCTTCACCCCTTGTCCTTCTCCTGCAGGGAGCTCCGGAGGCTGCGAGAGGCAGTTTCTTTATTTCTCCCAGGCCAACGCCAGACACCGGGATTCTGACCTGTAGTAGCTCTTATGAGCAGATCCCATGCTCAGATGTGCTGGTGTGCAATTTGGGCGTTTTTTATTGAGTTTTAAATATTCAGCTTATTGTTGTTTCAAGGGGAGAGATCTGGGGACGTCTCTCACTCCGCCATGTTTCCTTCCTCAAAGTGATAGCTTGTGTTCTTGGGTTTAAAATAGCTCAACTTAAATAACATTTTAAGAATTTATATGTACTTTTATACTATAAATTTATATAAAAATGTATTGTAATCTAATAACTTTAGGGAAAACAAGTTAATTTAAAATTTGCAGTTATATTTTTTAGTTTTGTAATTTTCAAGCTGACAAAAATATAATACTTTGTTTTAGTTGAAATATTTTAATTATGAGTTGAAAGATTTAAAGTGAAATATCTCTTGATAAAATATATTAAAAACTTGAAAAAGATGTTTTGTCATGTAAACATCATCTGATACGTGCACAGTCATTGAGGTTTAGTTATGATTTTAAATATTAGGGTTTGTACATATATATATGTTTGTGTATATATAATATTCTTACATGTAATTTTATATTAAAATATGACAACTTTTTGTTTCTTTTTTTTTTTTTTGCAACCTAGATAAGCCCCAAAAGTGATGTTTGGTCCTTAGGATGCATTTTGTACTATATGACTTATGGGAAAACACCATTTCAGCATATAATTAATCAGATTTCTAAATTACATGCTATAATTGACCCTAATCATGAAATCAAATTTCCTGATATTCCAGAGAGAGATCTTCAAGATGTGTTAAAGGTAATGTTAATAGTATATAGATATAGAGAAACAGTATATCATATACAGTTGACCCTTAAACAACTCAGGGGTTAGGGGGACCCATACCAGTGCCATCCCACTCCACCCCAACACAGTCAAAAATCTGCATATAAGTTTTGACTCCCCAAAAATTTAACTATTAATAGCCTGCTGTTGACTGAAAACCTGAATGATAACATAAGTGTCAATAAACACATTTTGTATGTTATATATATTATATGCTATATCCTTAAAGTAAAATAAGCTAAAGAAAAGAAAATGTTATTAAGAAAATCATAAGGAAGAGAAAATACATTTACAGTTTTTATTGACAAATATCTGCATATAAGTGGGCCACATAGTTCAAACACATGTTGTTCAAAAGTCGACTGTACATAAAAATGTTTGCTTGAAAGAAATACAGCTGAAATGATTAGAATAATGTAACTTGCTTAGCTATAAGTAACTGGTCCATTGAAAGGAATTGCTGATTGAATTAGCTTTTTAAGACATGTTAAGTTCACTTTGAAGGTATTAGTTTTAAAATGTATAGTTGGGGATTTTGCAAAAATGACATGAAATAATCTCATTTCTGAGTGGGCTATCTAGAAAGCAACTTCTGTAATACAATGCAATCTGAAAGAGTACTTTATCAATATTATATAAGAAAACTTGCTTTGTTTTAAAAAATTAATCTTTATTTTTATAGCGTTGTTTAATAAGGGACCCTAAACAGAGGATATCCATTCCCGAGCTTCTGGAGCATCCATATGTTCAAATTCAAACTCATCTAGGTACTTCTTTAAAAATCAATTTATTACCAGATTACTAATATAAACAGACTTTTAACTATAACAAGAAGAAACATTCTGAATTGGCTGCTCTTTCCAAGACTGCCTTCTTCCTTAAGGAAGTTCCTTTTATGCTAAATACTAAAATAAACGAAATTGCCTTTTTTGTTTGTTTGTTTGTTTACTTGCTAGCATATATTTTTACTTATCCTAGATAAGAGGCTGTGATCAGTGATAAATTACAAGAATGCTAATTATTGTGCTGAAAAACAGAATGTGTATTGGTATACGAAGTTATAGTTTTCTTATTGGTACCAGTGTGTTAATGATTATAATTTCTTATAGGTAATCAGATGGCTAAGGGAACCTCTGAAGAAATGAAACATGTCCTGGGCCAACTTGTTGGTCTGAATTCTCCTAACTCCATTTTGAAAGCTGCTAAAGTAAGAATTTCTATTGCTTACCTAAATTCATTTTAATTGTTGTGTATAGTTTAGTAAGTTAGACACTTAAAACAGGTAATTCAAAGGAAAGTTGGTCAAATCGTCAGGTCAGCTATGAAGTATATATCTACATTTAGATACTTAACATGTGCTTTTTGACAAATATAGATTTATGTGATTTACATTATTATTGTGCAGATAGCACAATTGAAAGTAGATTAACATATAAAGTGCATTCAGAAGATTGATGTCAGGTCTCAACTGGAATAAAGTTAACAAGAAATCTGTCTTTTAAATCAATACCATTTTTAACACAGCTTTTGAATTCATGTCCTCTAGCCAATTTTTTTTCTTAAACCATCTTGGAGGGTGAAGTGGGTAAAGAAGATCAAATATATGGTAGCTGAAGGAAACTGGACTTCGGGTGATAAACAGATGTCAAATTGTAATGTACACCTGAAAATTATATAATTATATTAACCAATGTTATTCCAATAAACTTAATTTTTAAAATGTTAAAAAAAAAGCATCTTAGCAGAATTACAGTATTTGTCAATGTAATAATTTCTGTGAAGCTAAATGTAGCTCAGTACATTTCTCAAAGCAAATGTCTCAAACCCGTCAGCCTTCCAATGCCATTTTATATCTATACCCAAATTTTTAAATCTCACTGCCATCAGACACCTAGTCATTTCCAGAACCCTATGTGTGCTATTGACTAACTTGTTTAGTTGCTAAGCAATTACTAATTATATATTTCAATTGTAACATTATTATAAAATTATGGGAAGTTTTAGCTCTTTGGGTATGGGAAAAGCCAGTCTAAGATGTCAAGAACTTGGACATATTTTGCATTCATATAATATAAGGAAAATTTTCCTAAATTTTCTCAAGTTTTCCTGATGGCCAAATCAATGGCTTTCGGAATTAAATTGGACAATATTTGCTTCGTAATTTTACTCTATGTTTTATATCTCCATATTTTTAATTTCTACCATTGTGTTAGTTTGAAGCCTTTTAAAATAAAATCGAGGTGGATTGTCATAACCTTTATCACTAAGATTATGTGTCCCTTGATGTCAAAGATGTCATCTTCATAAATTAGGTGTTGACGTAGCCTTAAACTCTTTTTCAAATCTAGGTTTTATTCTACGGCCATGCTACCCTGAACAAGCATGATCCTGTCTGATCTTGGATGCTAAGCAGGGTTGGGCCTGGTTAGTACTTGAATGGGAGACCAACTAGGAAGACCCGATTCTGTAGGCGTAAAAAAATAAATAAGGGATTGTAAGCTGACAAGGTCCTTGAAATCTGTGGGGTCAACCAAGGGTTGCCTTGCCTTAAAAAAAAAAAAATAGATTTTAATATAGCTAATTGTACTTATTAATATAACAATTTGTATGATTTTTAAAAATTTCTTCTATTCTTTAGTTTAAATGTCATTGGAATGTATATTTCCTGACAGGTGTATTTTTCAGTATGGGAATTCATTTAAGACTGGCTTTATTTAAGTAAAAGTAAGGAAAATCAAGAAGGCTTTGAAGATAAGTACATACATATGCTTTATTAATAGCATATTAAGAGCATTTCTCTTACAGAAAGATTGAGCTGCATCTCATGATAGCTGGTTATTAGGCCAGGCTAGGTGTTAAAATTCTTAATTATTTCCAGCAGTTTGTAAAATGACTTCCTAATTATAAGAACAAGAGAGAGATGTATTACACATTAAAATATGTGGTTATCCTTATTAATCTGATAATACATTGAATTTTAAAAATTACAAAACAGATATGTGTTTTTAATTTCAGACTTTATATGAGCATTATAGTAGTGATGAAAGTCATGATTCTTCTTCATCATCCAAGACTTTTGAAAAAAAATGGGAAAAAAAATGATTCATAACCACTCAGAAGCTGTCAAGTATCACCTGTAAAATATGTTGGATTGTTACACTCCTGATTCTTTGGACATCTGCTCTTGAAGACAACTTCTCTCTGAAATGTTATTGGCAGAAAAATTCAGTGGATTATCCTCAAAAGAAAACTGTAAAAATAATAACCACTAATGACACTATATATTAAATTGTAGAATTTTTTTCTCTTATGCTTTTCTGTAAATCTAACCTAGTTGATATCATTTCACACTTGGAGCTATGGGTGGACAACTGAAATATATTCTGAAGAACTATGTAAATAAAGCTTTGTAGAATAAAACGACAGTAAAATTTCAAAGCTGTAAAATGATTTTCTTCAAACAAATGTATTGGTGTGGTAGCAAAATTCTTAATAAAAATTGAATTAAGGGAAGACATAAGAGTAGACCTTTAGTAAATGAATGTTGGTGGGATTAGGGGGTGGGGGAAAGAATTCCAAAGGTTTTAATCCTAAAATAGATTTCCTAATTGCTTTATAGCACTGAGATAGTCCAGAGTTTTAGGGCTGCACTTGACTCTTAATTCTCCCTTTTGATTCTTCATAATGTCTATTGTTTTTGAGGTTTAGAATATCATTCTGGATTCTGTGGTGTAAGTTGTATAGGATGCCCTTCTTATATGACTTGCTTCGTAATGGGTAATTACAAATGTGATCCCAGAGTCTCTGGAATTGAATCTAGTAGGTTAAATGTATCATCACATAGTATTCTTCCCCTTTTTTTTTTTTTTTTACATTTTGATATTTTTTTAGAGCAGTTTTTGGTTTGCAGCAAAATTGAGGGGAAGGTGCATTGATTTCCTATGTAGCCCCTGCCCCTATTCATGTATAGCCTCCCCCATTATTGACATTCTCCAACCAGAGGTGCATTTGTTACAATTAATGAACCTGCATTGACATACTATAATAATCACCTGAAGTCCATAGTATACATAACAGTTCATTTTTGATGGTGTACATTTTATGAGTGCAGACAAATGTTGTAATAACATATATCCAACATTATGCTAATATCAGAGTATTTCTACAGTCTTAAAAAGTCTGTTTCATCTATTCATCCTTTCCCTATCCCCCAGTGCCTGGCAGCCACTGATCTTTTTATTGTCTCCATAGTTTTGACTTTTCCAGGATGTTATATACAGTTGACCCTTGACCAACACACATTTGAACTGTGCGGGTCCACTTATTCGTGGATTTTTTTCAATAAATACCTGTACTGTTTTCAATCTGGGGTTGAGAATCTGCAGGTTTGGAGTGTTGACTGTATGCAATGATCTACGCCATTTTATATAGGAGACTTGAGCATCCACGGTTTTTGGTATCCCTGCAGAGAGGAACCAGTCCCCCTCAGATACTGAGGGACAACTAAGTTTTTGGAGAGTCTAAAGTTATATGTGGATTGACTGCAGGGGTTGGTGCAGCTAACCATTGCACTGTTCAAGGATCAACTATCGTTGGAATTATATAGTTCATAACATATTCAGGTTGGCTTTATTTACTTAGACATATGCATAAAAATTCCATATTTTATGTAATGATCCTGTGTCTAGAAAGGAGAGCTAAAAATACATGATGATTAACACTAAGTAAAACCTATAACAAAATATAACTTTCTTTGCTTCACTGTGGGATTCTTACCCTATAGTTCAGGGCCTCTTAGATCTACTGGATAATGAGTGACACAAAGAGAATACAAGTACATATGTTATTTTTTTCTTGCCATGTCATTTTAGAGTTTTTTATTTTTAAAAGTAATTACAAACAACTTTAGGATGTTCTCCATGGTTCTTACCCCTTCCTCTTTCCTCTTCCTCTCTGCTCTATTTTTTACCTCTAGAAAGTGTATTGTATTGAAGAGGAAAATGTTAACTAATTGCATTATTTAGTTACTTAATGAAGTAATAATGTTTATTGTGTTACAAGGTTTGTAGAGACATATATATATACACATATATATGGAATTAATTTGTATTCTATGTTATTAGAATTACACTAAATTAGCGTATTTAACAATAAGTCAGAAGGATCCCTATAGACACAGGTGAGGTAAGGAGGAGGTTGTGGGTGTTTTTTACATTCTTGCTACTACAAAAGTAAAGTGAGGCAAGAACACAGTTGACATTCAATCACATGGAACAGAGGATGCAGCTCAAACTGTTAGTCTCCACTTAATTCAGTGATATTGCGATATTTTTTTAAAAAATCATATATAATGAAGAAGGTGATAATTATTCATGGAGTAACAGTGGATGAGCTAGCCCTACCCTGGAGAAAAATCTGATAGGACTTTGGGGGAGTAGAGATGGACGAGGGATTGAAAAAAGACAAGGAGTGAGATTCTTTGGAGAAGGAGTGGGAGCCACACTGGGACTGCATATTGAGATACGTGCGCATGTTTCCTCTCTTTCCTTTGATGGGACTGATCAGCCTAAATAAACCTGGTACATTGCCTCTTCCATCTCATCTGTCTTTTTGGATAAATAGAAAGCAACCATAGATAAAGGTTTTTGCTTGTGAATCTCTCAGGTTTTGCCTCTTCCATCTCATCTGTCTTTTTGGATAAATAGCAACCATGGATGAAGGTTTTTGCTTGTGAATCTCTCAGGTTTTGGTTTTGTTTTGTTTTTTTTCCTTTACAAAATGTTACTATAAAAGAAAAATAGTCATGTTTTGGTTTTTTTTTCTTTGAATTTTTATGAGTTTGAGCCAAACCAACAACATACGACAGGGAACAAGATTTTAAATGCTCTGAAAATAGTCTCATTGTAAAAAAATAAAATAGAAAGAAGCATGAATAACTCCAATTCCTTCATCCTGAGTTAATTACTGTTAACATTTAGCCTATTCATACAATAGAGATAATATATTTATAATTTTATGCACATTCTTCCACCTACCTTTCTCAAGCATTTTCCTAAGTCATTTAAACCCTTCATAAATACAATTTTGATTCCTATGAAATATCCTATCATGAATGTATAAGGATATTTTCCTATTTTTTTCTGTGTAAAATAAAACAATAAACCTCTATAAAGTTGTTTTGTTTTTAAGAAATGGTTCTTAATGTTTGTTCAGAAACATAACTAATAACATAAACCCACAAAGAAAAATCACAATGCCCTCATGGATTTTTTTTTTTTTTAAATTATCGGCAATTTGATATTAGATTTGGAAAATGAGATTTAGTTTTACTTTTAAGCCATCCCTAATGTGTGGTGGCCAACCCAGTACCTTTGTAAGTAGACTTAAGCAATATTTTAGGGAGGAGACAAATGCTATCTATCCAGAAAATTCTGGTGGCTTCACTTTCAAAATATCTAGAATTCAAACAGTCTTCAACTCCACCTGTACCACATTCAATCATTGCAGTAACTTCCTAGCTGTTCTCTCTGTTTCCACTCTTGTCCCTCTGTACCCTGCTTCTTACAGAATATCCAGGACAATTTGTTCAAATGTGAGTCAGAGCACTTTGCCCCTCTGCTCAATACCCTTCAACTGAGTCCCATCTAATTTAGAGTAAATGCTCAAGTCCTTGCAGGATAGTCTTTCCTGCTGTATGCAGCCATATCTTAAAAGTGTTAGGCATACTATTACCTTATGGCCTTGGGCTGGCTGTTACCTCTTCTAAAATGCTTTTTCCCCAATTATCACTAGGCTTGTTTTCTCATTTCCATCTTGTGTTTGTTCAAATGTAATTTTCCTAATGAGGCCTTCTTTTAATAGCATATTTAAAATCGTAATCCCCTTCCCATTGTACTCTGTAATCCCTGTTGCTTGCTTCATTACTTTCTATAGGATTTATCCTTCTAACATTCTCTATAATTTAGTTTTTTTACTGTTTATCTCCCCTGTTGCAATACCAGTTCCCAGAATGCAGAGCTTTTTCTCGGTTTTGTCTATTTCCAGTGCCTAATACAATGGCTGGGCCATAGCTGACACTTGAATACATGAATAAAAGCTTTTCTTCCTGGAAAGAAAAAATTATAAAATATTTCTTACAGAGAAACTATTCATATTAGCAAACTGTGCTAGCCCAGCATACTAACGTAATTCTTATAGTATTAGACAAAATCCCACATCCTTTATGGATATCACCCCATTCTAAGTGACCTAGTTTGCAGCACTGAGATTTTAGGAATGAAAGATGTTCACAGAGGCAAACTCTTTTTCCAGACTTGCCCTTGACTGACAGGGAGGATTACATATAGAATTAAGAATTCGCCTTTCCACAGAGGCATAGCATGATACGTGGTCCTAGATGTTCAAATAAATGAAATAAGTCCCTGCCCTCCACCTCCAGATGCTTATTTCTGTGTTTCTCTTCCTGTGATACTGGGAGAGGAGGATTTTTTTTTTTTTTTTGTTTTTTTGTTTTTTTTGGCTGCAGCCCAGGTGTCCTGGCATTGACTTTCTAGTTCTTGCTGATACTATGCATGGTAGGGCAAATGCATGGACATGTTGACAAGACACGAAGGACAAGCCGCATGCCTGTGTAATCCCACAGCTTTGGGAGGCTGATGAGGATGGGATGCAAGGTGTGCTGTCCTTCCTCACTCTTTTGCTGTCTCTGAAGAGGATTCCCTTCTCCCATCTTTGGCAGGGATTCCCCAAGGGCTGACTGTGTCATAATCAGATATTCTCCCCACCCCAGGCTGGAGGCTCCTTCCCCTCCACAATCAGGCTGGCCCAAACCCTCCATATGGCTAGTGAGGGCCCCCTTGTGGTAAAGGCAAGAGGTACTGAGGTTGCTGCCCAAACAAGAAGTTTGGCAGCTGGTAGCCCAGTGAGTCAAAGTTCACTGTTCCTAGGTAGGTGTGGAGTAGCAGTGACACCAGTTGTGGTTCTGGTCCTAAGCAGGAATTTCTGGTTTTGTTGTCAGTCTGTATGAATGACTGATCTGAAACAAAACCACAGGGCTCAGCCAGGGATGAGCTTGCTAAATGGGTCAGGTCAGGTTGGAAGGCATCGTCAGTCAGTGCTTACCCAATCTATCTGGTGAGTGCCTCGAGCACTTTCCTTGCACTATTGCAAATCTCTGCATTTATTTTGTCCTCACCATCTGGTCTTTGCTGCAACATGGAACAAGGCAAGGAGAATTCAACTCAAGCGACAACTCATTATGATGAAGACTGAGATTTTTGTCTTCCTATAATCAAGATGGCTCTACTTGCAACATTCTCCTTTTTTTCCCTTGCCATTTCATTCACAGATTTAAACTCTAATTTTGCCTCTCGTTTATGCTTCTTTTCCCATACCTATTTCAACCACAATACCAATTTCTTTCATGAATCCTTCCTATTCTTTCATTCCTATTTTTAAACCACCACCCTTGTCCTTGTACCCACCTCACTGTTTTGTTCTCCAATCCATCACGT